TAAACGGATTTCCATATTTCAATTTCTTTTTATTTTTTTATTGTCTAAAAAAAAAAAAAAAAAAAAAAAAACATACGCACTGTAAAGGTGATCAATGTTACCAAATTTAGACACAGACACATGTACTTTTGGACATGTGTTTTTAAATAAGTTTGTTGTTGTTGTTTTTATTTTGTTTTTGGTTGATTTCCTGAGATAGTAAAACGGCGGATGCAACGCCATATAGAATCGGGGATCGGGGATTACGTATGGCTACACGCCTACGGTAAAACAATTCAGCTCAGTGTCTATTTCATTCCATTGAATATGGGCAACATTTTGAGTTTCCGCTTTTTAGTTTGAATTTTTATTTTTTTTTAATCAAAAATAGTTCGTTACATTTTGTCCATAAACAATCAACACACAGACACACACACATACTAGTAAAAGCTATTGATCAAAACAATTTGTTGCCTTCTGTTGATTTTGTTTTTTTTATTTTTTTTTTCTGTTGTGCTTTTTTTTGACATTTGTTGGATGTACATTTTTGGGATAAAAACCGATAAAAGCATTCTCTTCATTCAAAATGCCAACGACCAAAAACGGGCAACGCAGCGACGTCAGCTACTAAAAACATAGGCGGGGATTCCAAAAATATCTGAGCGGGGGGTTAAAATATTGCTAGTTTTTTTTTTATTATTTTATATGCTTAAAATTTGAATTTTAATTGATAAACATTTTATTTAATTTAAAAAAATATATCTGAGAGGGGATTAAAATATTATATAGTTTTTTATATTTTATAAATGTACATTTTTAATTTTAAATTTTAGACATTTTAGTTTAATTCAAAAAGTATCTGAGAGGGGGTTAAAATATTTTTATTTATTTATTTTAAAATTGAATTGACAAGATTAACTGTATTGGTTTTAATAAGGATATTAACCTACTCAAAAAAGATTAATTTTATAATAACTGAATGTGAAACAGTTTTCAATTTATTAAAAAAATCCCTTTCTGCTATTTCTTTGTTTTAATTATTTATTTCTAAAATTAATTCTTCCGAAAAGTTTATGTTATTTGTTTTCTAAAATCCCCTTTAAACCCCATTAGGTCCGCCCCTGTCTTGGATACTTGGAGACAGCTCAATGTCAATGGCTTCAGATTGGGTGTGTGCGTGTGTGTGTTTGGAGGGCTTCAAAATTGTGCGAACCCAAAAGCACAACAACAACAAAAAACACTCAAAAATGTGTGTATAAAACAAATAAATTATACGAAATTAAATTTAAAAAAAAAATAATAATAATAATAAATAAATAAAATAAGAAAATGCCAAAAACGTTGACATTGTATACTGTGCACGCTGCTTCGCTGCTTTTTTTTAACGTCTTTTGCGAATTTATTTCGATGTCATTTGTACGCACGAAAGACGCTCAACGGTCGACTCTCGTGTCTCGCGTTTTATGGTACACATTGCGAAAGTGAAAAGCCCCCTCCCAAAAACATAAAAAAAAAAATATATATATATAAATCGAGTAATGAATGCCATCAAAAAATATCAGGCGCCGTCGCATAGAGACAAAGCTTGGAGATATTTCCAGAGATCTATTCGAAACTCTTCCGTTAACTTTCATTAAGCACAGCAAGCACCGGCAGCTGGAGACAAAAACAAAAAGAATTATTTTTTTTACGGTCCGTTTTCAGGCTTTGTATATGTGTATCTATGTCTATGAACCGTTTCTCCTACTTCTACTTATCATCTGGAGTATATTGTACAGTACAAATGTGGATGGTTAATTAGAAACGAAACTGATAAACATATCTAGAAATAAAAAAGTATCTAAAAAACAAACAAAAGTATCAAAAACAAAACAAACAAGTAATTATAAATATATAATTTATAAAAATAAAAATTTTGATAAAAAGCATTTCGATTTTACTTGCTGTAATTTGCTGTATTTGTTTTCTTTTAATTAAACATTTTAAATCTATATAAAAGAGTTTATAAAGTTTTTATTAATACAATTAAATTGTATAAAAATATTACATAAATTTCTCGTTAATATATATTTACCCTCGAGTGTTCTTTACCTTTTTTTGCAGCATATTTCTTCCGTTGCTGGGAAACAAGTTTTGCTATTGTTATTGTTGCTTTCTTTTTTATCCATGCTCCAGCTCCAGCTTCTGCTTTTGCTTCTTGTTGTCTTCTTCTTCATTCCATTCTCATTCCGATTTCAAACGTAACTGTCAACAATAAATGAAGCTTAGTTGAGAAAACCGATTTTCTAATACCCTTTCAGTTCAAAAAATGTACCCTAAATTTAAAAGAATATTAAATATTTCATATATTAAGTCTATATTATTATTTAACTTGGATTACTCCGTTTTTCAAATAATCATTTTAATTATCTTGTAGATCAATATTTTTCCTATGGTATCTATAAGATACATATTTATATTTATCAGATACTAATTAATATCAGCATAGTAAATGTGTTTAAGCTACAAGTTTAAATTTAAAAAGTAACATATAAACACTCTTCAAGACATGCCTAGCTCTTGTCTGGTAATACTAAATATCTAATCTTAATTTAAAATAATAATAAATAGACCATATACTAGAGGCTTACAAGCTTCTGCTGGAAACTAAAATACCTTGAACACCTTATGGTATGTAACAATAAGCAGCGCCAAAGAATCTGCCCCGTAGAATTGTGCTTGTTCTTCGCCTGATTCCTCTGGCTGTTCACAGGTGTTAGTGCTTGTGCTACGTGTGGTGTTTGGAAGACCTCTGACTTTCGAAGTGATCGCCAAACGGTTTCCAATGATCATGGCCATTGTTATTATTATCATCATCATTACGATGCTTGTGCTTGTGGGTTTTTATGCTAAACGGTTCTCCCAGCTCAATTATTTATAATTTTTTCGTCCGAAGCGGGATTTGGTTTATATTATTGTTTGTATTTGTATTTGTATGTTTTTGTTTTTCCCCCACTTCGTAGTTCGTGGCTTTACCGTTCAACTCGTTTAACTTAAGCTATTGTTGTTTTTTTTAGTGGGTCGTGTATATTGAAGTTTTTTTTATAGATATTTTTTCTTCTCTCATCATCTTCTCCCATCTCTTGGATTCGGGCTTCATATGCAAAGTAACCCCCCTCAGAAAATAAGTGTACCGGCTGGGACAGATGATTCATTCAAAAAACTCGGAATCACTCGAATTACATTGGCGTTTCCCTAACACGTTTATGTGTGACTCACAGTCACAAATGCAAATGACAAGGTTTTAATATTTGCTGACTTGCTGAGAATTTTAAATCAACAAATGAAATAATTCGATTTATTATGAATATGTCTGAGTAATATTTTTAATATTTAAACTACTGTTGTTATTATAAAAATCTGAAAAAGTTTTTTTTATAAATTTTATAGGAGCACGCTGATCTTTAAATAATTTAATAATATCTAAAAGAAATAAATATATAAATTTTAAATAATTAAGTAGCATTTATCTCATCATTTGAGTGAATCATTTTTCGCACTTAAAATGCTTTAAAAATGAATATAATTTAATTTTATTAAGTTTTATTTATTGTATTTAATTTTATAACAATCTATTTAATTAAATTTTATTTGTTTTATTTAATTTTATTAAATTTAATTTTGATCAATTTTATTTAATTTTATGTATTTTATTTACTTTTATTTATTTTATTTAATTTTATTTAATTTTAGTTAATTTTAGTTAATTTTATTTAATTTTATTTAATTTTATTTTATTTTATTTAATTGTATTTAATTTTATTTAATTTTATTTAATTGTATTTCTTTTTTATTTAATTTTATTTAATTGTATTTAATTTGATTTAATTTTATTTAATTTTATTTAATTTGATTTAATTTGATTTAATTTGATTTAATTTTATTTAATTTTATTTAATTTTATTTAATTTTATTTAATTTTATTTAATTTTATTTTATTTTATTTAATTTTATTTAATTTTATTTAATTTTAGTTAATTTTAGTTAATTGTATTTTATTTTATTTAATTGTATTTAATTTTATTTAATTTTATTTAATTTTATTTAGTTTTATTTAATTTTATTTAATTTTATTTAATTTGATTTAATTTTATTTAATTTTATTTAATTTTGTTTAATTTTATTTAATTTTATTTAATTTTATTTAATTGTATTTATTTTTTATTTAATTTTATTTAATTGTATTTAATTTTATTTACTTTATTTAATTCAAATTTTTAAGGTCTCATTTGAGATTTTACTACTGGACTACTTGACTTGGCAAATATGTTATATGCACATATCTCGCTCTTATCAACCAGTTAGTTAATCAATACACATTTTACTCACACAAGTATTTCATTATAATTTATTGGCTGTTGGGAAATAGTAATGGTAATGGGCCTACGTGTCCGTCAGTATAATGCTATTTATGGTTCCCTGATAACCGAGTCAGGGCGCCAATGGTATTGTTTTCCAATCAACCAGAACCAAGAACCCGCATTCAGGGAAGGATAAGGGCTTAAAGATAATGGTGCAAGCAACAAGTTACAGGGTATATATATATAAATATATTGATAATGCAAATTCCACTAACTAAATCATGAGGGAGTTGACGAAGGCAAAAGGAAATTTACGCCAAAATAAATTATATCTACACATTATATGTATGTACATATATTTGATCGAAAAAGGAATTGCCCTTTTCTTTTGACTTATTGACTAGTAATCTACTAAGGCACACTCTATAGATAACACATATCTAGAGTACATATTCTAACAATGATTCTTGGAATTGTTATTATGCCAAGCTATGATGACTAACTTTAAACGATTTTACTGCAATTTTTGTTTTCATTTTTCTAGGTAAAAGTTAGCAACATCAACATCCGAGTCGATTCAGACATGCCCGTCTGGTCTTTTGTCCGTGGAAGATACACATCTTCGTCTATAAAAGCTATCTAAATTTCTTGATAATATTTATATAAAACAGTCACAAAGAATTCTATTAGCATTTTTTCTGGGGTTTCACTACAATTTTTCATTATTAACTTAAGTGTGCATAAAATGTTAAATACAATTTAAAAACAATACAAACAATTTTAAAGATTCAAACAGATTGGGATTGAGATTAAGCTGCTGGTAAAGCGGCAATGGCATCTGCAGCAAAATTCTGGACATCCACATCTTCGTCAGCCCTAAGTTTGTCCAAAGCTGGCTTAACCTTGGCATCCATAACACTGGCCTCCAAAAAGGGAAAGATCTTCTTTAGGGTTTTTGCCACATTAAAACGGACATTGGCAATGGGATCCTCGGAGAGTAGGAGTACAGTGGGCAGCATTATATTAGTGGTAGTGTCCATGCCGCAGAACATGGCCAATTCGTTAACGCAAAAGAGGCAGGTCATTCGGTACAAATAGATGTCATTGCAAGACATGGTCATGATCAGGGGAATAATGGACTTCGTTGCCCAAGAAGCTCCGAATTTTAGGATTAGCTTCCTCATGTTGATTACTCCAGCCTCGCGAACAGCATAGACACGATCAGTGAGCCAACCCATGCAAAGACAGCGTAGCTTTTGGTCAAAGAACTCTTGACCCATTACAGCGGCCAGGTTGGGCATGTAGTCAATAACGGCCAGACGCACCTGCCAAGAGGAATCCTCGGCCAGCTCAATGATGACGGGCAACAGAGACACCGATAGCTGCTGTATACCAATGACATCGTCCAGCCAATTCAAATTTGATATAACATCCAGGCGCACTTCCGGACACGTGTCCTTGACCAGAATGTGTAGCAAGGGCATCAGCTTCTCCATGGTCAGAGTGGAGCCCATCAATTGGCTAAGGGCCAGAACAACAAGGGCCATAGTTGCCTTGACTTCGGCACTCGTGTCCGAGACCAAATTCTGAATAAATGGCATAAAACAATTGACTAGGATCGGTACCTGGTTGGCCTTGTCCAGATTGCCACAGAAATGTTTTATCTTGACGGCCGCCCCAATGCGTACACCAGCATCGGTATCCTTGAGCAAGGTCTGGAATATGGACAACAGCTCGACCAGCGACATTATGGGGCTTACTGCCTTCTGCAAGTCCACTAAATTTTGGGCCAACATTAAGCGTACACGCCAGCACGTATCCCTGGAATAATCTCGAAGTGTTGGCCAAACCAGCAATGTCACCTCTTCCGGGAGCAGCACTTGAGCCAGACTGATGCATGTTTTAACCATAATTGAACGAACAGTGTCTGTGTCATCTTGTGCCAGCATCAAAAAGTCGGGAATCACATCCAACCTGACGAACTCCGTCTCGATGACCTTGGCGAACTCCCCAAGCTCGGAGGCTGCCTTACCACGAACCACGGGCGATTCGTCCAGGCACAGCTTGCGGAAATCGGTGCGAAGCTTTGCCTTTACGGGTGGAGTGACCCGAGGATAGCAGATCGAAAAGAAACAGCAGGCCGAGGTGCGTGAGGTAAAAAAGACGTCCGAGGCGAGACGTTGCAGCATCGGCACCACATATATTTCCATATCCTGGGCACTGTGTTTAGCCACCACGATACGCAGTGATTGAGCGGCCTGGTAACGCACCGCGTCATCCTTGACGGTAGCCAAAAACTCGAGTGGCGGTAACAGAAGATTGGCAAACTCAGGTCCGCCCACGAGACTGGTAAAGTTGCCCAATTGTTCGGCCACCGACAGGATCACCATATCCGCATCGAGTAGGATCTGCTTGATGAAGGGTAACATCTCAGAGCGTGTGCGTTCCGCCCCCAGGATCAAGGCAATGGAGGAGAGTTTTCTGATCGAGATGAGGCGCAGGTGCACATCATCCTTTTTCATCCCCTCGGTAAGCACTTCCATGGGATTTGTGGAGTCATCAGGCTTATTGCTCGCTGACATCTTTTCTATTGCTTAGCACTAAAAATCGGTTTTTTCTGTTCAGCGTATAATCCGGTCGGGTTACTAGTATTCAACTTAAATATTCTGTGATGAGTTTTCCAATGAAAACTAAGTCATACCATCAAAATATTGATAATTGATTTATTTCCCAAGGAAATGCATACCTTAGGTTTAATGTACATTATATATTTTTGTTTGAGGAAACTATTTAAACGTTTTAAACACTCATACAAATATTTTTCTATATTTAAAAGAATCCTTAAAATTTAAGATCCTTTAGTTCCTATCTTAATTCAAGATAAAATTGCACTTGTTCTGCATGTCACTTTGACGAATTCGCTCTAAAAATCTCACGGCAAAAAAATTTCACTCCTGTGTATTTATAATTCTCAACTGGTTTTAACATCTCTAGAGTGAAGTAACACTTGCCGGCCAACCTTTTGAGTTATTTTTTCTTTTGTCCAAGTGTAGTAGTGTTACCAGGACAGACTGGGGTGTAATTACATGTGTTGTTTTTGGATTTGTAGAGTTGTTTTCGAATCACAGAAGTAAGTATTACATATGTGCTATTAAATAATTACTTACCCTTAAAGTTATTAAATTATTTCTTAAATCACGAACAATTTTCCATAATTTAGAAAATGAACAATTAGAAATGAATATGTTCACTAACTTCAGTTCCCTCACTTATGAGCAACCCGTCATAAATTTAGCATAGGATTCCAGAACGGATTAGTTGAAATGCTATTTATACAGATTATAAAATATGATCAATCCTGCTTGTAATTCTTCCGATGTAACTGTTTAAAAGTAATTTCCAGTTAAATGCAAAAAATATATTCTAATCTTTATCATTTACCACAACCGGTTTCATAAAAGTTCTCTCAAGTTCATTAACAGACTGCATTGAGATTTGCAATTCAAAACCTGAGATACATACAGACTTACAGCTTTTAATAAAAATATGACGAATTTTACTTAATCGAAATATATTTAGGTAGGGCAAACTTAAGTACTTTCGAGTTATTATAACTCCTAGATAAACTTCCGTATTTTCGAGATACAGGGCTATTAAACTTGTATTTCGTAGTTAAACTGGATTTAAATGTTGTCCAAATGAATTTCTTGCATGTCACACCCTCTGGGCAAAGGACTGCGACTGGCTATAACTATCTGCTTGGCACGATCTGGTGGAGACCCCTAAGTACCCCCGGTGAGAGCATTATGTAGAGTGCCGCCCGGATTTGGGGCCTCACGCAATGCTTTCCTCTTTGCGCCCGGCTCAATCCGGATTCCGGCGGAATACCAAAAGGGCGGACAAGTATCTCTGGCGGGGATCTGGGCGTGGCCACACGTGTGTGCAGAGTGTACACACCCACGGAAGCATAAAAAAAAGTAGCCGAGCTCACGTGTGCACTTTTCAATTTGTGTAATTAGAGGCAGAGTCAGGGGCATCTTTATTTGAATTTTTGTTGCGCACAATGTTGTGGTTATATGCTTTTATCAGGAGGTATAAAATCAGCTTAAAAGTTCGTAATATTTCATAATTTTTGTGTTTATTTATTAAAAAAGTTAAAATAATTAACAATAAAATAATTCAAATGAGTTAATCCCATATCTAATAGCATTTATTATAGACTAATCCATAAGATCACACTATCATAACTCTGCTACCCTGAAAGATAATGCTGTGAAATTTGGCAGATTTGTATATAATACAATTTCAGAGGATCGTGACAAGTTTGGTGCTTTTTATGTTCTTAATGTACCCCTGGGAAGGCAATGAATGAGCAGTAAGTGTATTCCAAATGTCTGTTCCTGCACCCAGCTGATGGCAACAGACCGCAACGGGCCAACCCTGCGAAAAGCAGAAGACAAAATAAATAACTCAGCACTACTTCGTCGGGAAATGGAATGGGAACGGGAATGGGACTGCGAACGGGATTTGGAATGGGTATGGAAGTGGTAATGGAAGTGGGAAGTGGGTGTGCTTCTATGTGGGCCTACATATGTATACATACATTTATAAATACATTGCACACACGAAACCAGCATACAATACATATATAGAAATTTTCATTAAAAACCACTTTTAGGTTTAGTTTCTGCAACCCACATTCTGGACGACCGACCAGCGATGTTTTCGATTTCGCTAACAGAAACAGTGGGGTTTGACTTATAAAATATATATTTTTTAAATTTATTTAGATAAATAATAATATAACCAGGAAAAATATTAGGTACATTTTCAAATAAAATAGAAAATAATTATTTTAAATCAACGTAGAATATAGAAAAGAATTATATTGAATGCTTAGGTCACACTTAATATTTAAACCTTTCATTTAAAAGCTGTTTTTAGACCTACAAATATGGAAAAAAAAATAATAATTTTGCAAGCTATAATTCTCAATATTCTTTATCTTTATATAAATTCTTATCTCTTTCGACAAAATACTAAATAATACTATTAATAATTAATACTTCCAAGCAGAACCCACTGTAAATTCAATCTTCGTATAGTGTCTAGTTCCACTATAACTGCCTCTTTCTGCCCCAGTTACTTCACCATGCAAATATGTTGCTTTAACCTTAAATGCAAGACGTTGACAGCGCTGCGACTGAGTCTCTCAGACTGAACTAACAGAGGCAGTTTTTTAGCCCTGTTTTTTGGCCAAAGCCAAAAATTATAATGTAACAAAATAAGCTTAATTTATGCGCATTTTATTATAAGGCTGTTTATTTGAAAAAAATGGAACATGATATAAGCAAAAATTTATTTATAGAGAATTACAGAATCCAGAAGAATTGTTTTTATTGAGTTTTTAAATTAACCAACAAAACAGTACGACTTTATCAATACTTTTCCCCTTGAATACATGAAATTAAATCCTTTGGCTTTGATCCTTTCTGGTTTAAACCTGTTTATTTTTTGCTTTGAAGACTACTTGCTACTGCCTCCGCATCAGTAGATCTCGCACCCACGTGAAGTGTGCGGTTTTGCTACTTCTTTTTTATTTTTTATTTTTTTTTCCCCACATTTCTTTCATTGCCAGCCGCTAGCCAGCTTAACTTGGCGCTAATCAGATGCGACAGCAACAACAGCAACAGCACGAACACAGCTGCAGCTGGATGGATGGATGGATAGAGCAAAAAATAAAGTCTCGCCAAAAGCTGACGCCGCAATAAACAAGTCAAGAAAGCAACTGAAGAAACTAAAGCGACGAGCGGAGACAGACAGAGGTGGTGCGAAGGGGAGAGCATGAGTGTCTGCTTTTGCCTGTCTCACTCTGTCAGCTAAAGCTGGGTACAGTTGTGCCCAAGATGAGAGTATAAGTAATAAAATATAAAAAAAAAAATTAATTAATATAGTAAGCTTATAAACCATTAATATAAGAATTTTAAATGAAAAATCGATTAATCAAAGAAATCAAATTCGTCTTGATATAAGAATTTGAAATTTACAAATATTTTATCTATAATCATGGGTTAAAATACTATTTGTATTATTAAAAACACTAGTTAATACTATTTTTGCGAACGCAGCTGTAACTTACATCAAGCACAATTGCTTTGCACCTTTCAGTCTGGGAAGCTGCGCCCTCCGCCTGCTCTTCATCCTGCCATCACACACCCAATGGCGTGTGTCTGTCTGTCTGACCAAACTGAATGACTCAATGAAACTTTTTTACACTTTTTTTTTTTTTTTTTTGCCCTGCACAGTTCAACTAGTTTATTGAGCAATTGCTCAAATATTTTAATATTATGATTTTAGGACTGAAATAAATTAAATTAAATTGTAGTGACACAAGTGTTGACTGTATTGAAAAAGTTCAAGCAATTTAACCTGCTCACTTGCATTCTAAAATTTATTAACAGTAATTTGTTTTTGAAGGGAACACAGCTCGATCACCACTCGGGTGAAATTTTGCAAAAAGCACTTTAAAATCGAGCAACAAAAAGAAATTAATAAATAAAATGCAGTAAAATATTATTTCTTTCACTTTCCCGAAGCTTCTACTGCAACTCCCACGCGCACGACAGGTGCAACAATGTCGAAAATGCAATGCTTCGGGCAATTAACGGAGCAATTAGCCATGTTGTGCAGGAATTCGGCGATTTAGCATTAACATAGATATTCGTGGCTGTTATTTATATCACGGATGGCGAAAGCAAGCACAATTAACTCTAAGTGTATATATGTATCTACTTAGCAGACGTATTCATAAGATACAAGGGTTTTATCCATAGGATACATGGCTGAAAACAGAGAATGTATGCAATAGACAGAGAAAATAAATACATATGTATATTATTGATAAGCATAACGGACATGGCTAAATCGAATCGGTTGGTGTGTCTATGTTCGTTTGTTTTATTTATTTAATTTTTTTTTACTTTTTTGCTATTATAATAAATATTTCTTAAGCATTCGCTCTATGTTCTTGACTGAGATTTCTTCAGTCTGTTTTAACCAAATGTCCATGGCCTTGGCTTTGGCTTTGGCTTTGCATTTGGTTTGGTGCTCTTGGGCTTTCGGGTGCCATCGCCAACGCATGATCTTCAATTCAATTCCAAAATCCAAAAATCCAAGCAGAAAACTCACTTTTTCGCTGCCTCTTGGCACGCAAACTAATTAAGACGGCAATTAATGATTATATCTCTCTATCTCTCTCCTGGCCATGGCCAATTGTGCGATGCGAAGCCGAAATGGCCAAAAGCGCGCCGGAGTGAAAATGTGTTTGCAACGTCGCGTTGACCAAAAACGGTTAACTGCAATGCCAGCTGGTGAAAAAAAGTAAATTAATAAAAATAAAATAAGGTTGGAGCAGGGGGTGGGTGGTGGCAACCCTGGCGGTGCGTGCATGTTAATGGCAAACGCACACACACACACGTGTGTATGGACGCACGCAGCGTGAAAAATAATGGAAATGGAAGAAAACAAATTAATTGCGAAAAATTTACGAAAATTTTCACATTCAATGACCTTGACAATGGCTTTGGCCCAAGTCGCTTAACAAGTTGGATTTTTTTTCTCGTTGTGGAGAGTTTGCCGTGTGTGTGTGCGTGTAGAAAACGTGACGAGTTACGTACTTTTGGAGAAAGGTCGTTGATCATGGCTATAGTTTTTTTTTTTTTTTTTTTTGTTTAATAGCGGTTTCAAAGTCAACATCAACTTAACGCGCTGCTGTTTTTGGCCATTTAAGTATTTCTAGTTTCGGTTAACCCCTCTTCTCCTTCGCACCGATCGATCTCTCACCTGCCTCGAGTTAACCTCACCATCGCAAGGTTAAAGCCAAAGCCATTGGCCCCCCGGGAAATTTCTTCAATCTTTTTTTCACTGCCTTGCCAAATTAAAGTAAATAAAAAAAAAAAAAACAGTTGATCAGCGTGAACTTGAGAACAGCCAACAAAGCTGAAAACAGAATGTGACTTTGCCCAAGAACTAGAGTTCAAGGGGTATCAGTCTTAAGCCGACATTCTACGTCGCTTTTAGCATTTATATTAACACATATTCTTAGTTCTTCTTCGTTTTCGATATAATATAATTTTTCCAGTCGTTACCGTCTTATGTGTGCCACAAACTGAAGACACGTCTTCTGGCCATTAACGCAGACCAGATAAACGTAAAATACCAAATACAAACACATAATAAATACATTCGAGAAGAAATGGCTAAAGAAAACTAGTTGATGGCCTCCCGACTAATGCTAAATAGCCATATTCGGAGCAATTCGATGCCAATTTCCTTCCAACAGGTGCAATTGCTCCATTCTCGGGCCGTATTCCACAACGCTTTTCACCGTTACAACAACAGCTACGAAGATAAGATTGTGTCTCGTCTCTTTTTCACTTATCTCTAAGATTCAACGATTCTCCGAAGAATAACCATAAAAGAGAACGAAAATCACAAGAAGTTGATTGAGGAATGTGGAATTTTGCGATGACGTCGGCGAATATTTTTGACACCCAGAAACCATGATAAAAATATTTGCTTGTGGAAATTTTCCCTTAAAATTAGTATCCATGACAATAATTAATTCACATAAGGGTTTTTTAAAAGTAAATCTATGAAGAAATACTCATACTATTTTAGGAAACTCATGCTTCTTTTAAATGTCTCTTATTCTTTTTAAGCTCACATTTCAGATTTTGCCTGGAAGGCTCCATGCAATCGTTCCCTTCTTTTTAATATTTGCAATTTGCAGTCTCTCCTCTTTGATTTCAATTTCTTCCAAAGAAGAGACAGCAAGACCAAATGTGGCAAGGCAAAAAAAACAGACAGGGTGAGAGAGTAGTAGAGACAGGCAGGGCGGGGCAGGGGCTGTGCTGTGGCTGGGCGCGACGTCACCGCCGTTGGAGCCACTCCTTTGACCAGTTGCCCCAACATTGACTTCGCATTGTGTCTGTGTATGCGTCTGTTGTTTTCTTTTTATGCTGCTGCTCTCCCTCTCTCTTTCTCTCTATCCAGCTCTGTCTCTTGCTCACTCGCCTTGCGTGCTTATCGCCGTATGTTGCCGTTTCCTTTTATGCGTCATTTTGGCTCGAAATAGGCAATTATTTAAACAAAGATTAGTCAACGAAAAGCGCAAATAAATAAGTCTACATATTGTTACTTATTTTTATAGGCATGTGTGTGCAGTATTGTTGCAAGCAACAACAACAGCTGAATCAAGTGAAACACACGCATCGGCTTTCCCTCTTTCACTTTTTTGCAAAGACGAGTGCGAGTGAAACGGCAAGACCGGCACAAGCACCCGGCCGAATTCTGACTAAAAATATCAATTGCTAGCAATGCATTTGGCATAACAATAACAATAGCAATGGCAATAGCGAATGCCTACAATATTGTGTATTGTTTATGCCGCGAGTCCGGCTCAAGAATCTGCGAGAGTGGAGCTCGGCTTATCATATATGTACATACATAAATACATAAAGTATGTATGCATGTAGCAGGACTGAGTCACAGCCAAAAGCCGCAAGTCAGAGCAAGAGAGCCGCTTACTCTGCATGGGCGTGCGAGGCTGCATGTGTATGTGTGTTGAGGGGTGTGCGTGTGGAGCGTCTCTCTCTGCATCTCTGTTGCGCAAACGCGCTGTCGCATCACCTACTCCAGCTCTCGTCTGGCAGCTGTTTCGCCGCTGGCGCCGTTATTGTTTAAAACCGGCTTGCGGCTTCTATGACTATTTTTTAATGACTACGAAAATACCCTCTCAAAAGCTAGAAAAGTTTATAGATAACAATATGCATGCAAATAAATGAAAGCAACATTTTTTAGATTTATGAATTCCCAATTTCAAATACAAAATCGCTAAACACTTGTATCCTTTAATTATTGTTAGTTTACAAATTGTCAGAGTTGACAAAAATTCGAAATGGGATTACAAAGACGCTTCAGAGATTGTGACTTAAAGCATAAAGTTCCAGGAATATTCCCATGAATTGCTCCCCGTGACTAGTGGGGCAATTTAAAGAATTGTTATGACCACCCTTTATCTCGCACAAGTAATTCTCCATAAAGATAACGCCTGAAGTGTGCGGGCCTTCGATTATCGGGTGGGGATGACTAAGGCAGCGCCCTAAGAATTGAATTGAATCACATGCGTAGTGTTAGGCGCCGAACGACCGACCCGGCCTCAGCTATAGAGTATCAGAAACCCCATTGGAACTGATAGGACCCATGAATACACTGCACACACACACACACACACACACACTTGGAGAGTGCAGACATTCAGAGAGAGGGAAAATTCTCCGAAAAGCGAATCGGCGAACAATTCATACCCATATATGGTAAAACTTTGGACGCGGCTCAAAGAGAAGAGAGCCGGTTTTGGCTGTGCGCTGATAAGGCGAGCGGCGAACTGTTGAGCGGTACGGAAAATGCGGGGTGGGTGTTGGGCCGGCGGTACACGAGCGGCCCGGCTTTATAAAACGGGCGGCACCGACCAGTTTTCATATCACTACCGTTTGAGTTCTTGTGCTGTGTGGATACTCCTCCCGACGCAAACCGCTCCATCAGCCAGCAGTCGTCTACTTAGAGACACCAACCGAAAGACTTAATTTATATTTATTTAATTAATTTTAATAAAACAGAC